AAATAGATCAGACATAACAATTTTAACATTTTAGCAGCTAAATATGCCTGCTAACTTGGGACGGTTTAAGGGATACTCTAAACTAGCATAAAACAGATACTCTATATATATATTTTTGAAATAAGGTCTTGTCAAATATGAATATGAACTTTTAGACTATGACATATTTAAAAAAAAGTATTTTATACAAAGTTTTAAAATTTATTATAATAAATCAACCAATCAATATTCATTTATTGGATGATTATTGATATATAATTTTGTACAAATAAGACAAATTTTGTACAAATAAGGCAAATTTTATATATATAAAGCAAATTTTCATGCATATTGGACAAATTTTGTACAAATACAGTACCAGACAGCAAGAAACATCCATTTTTTATATATAAATATAAAAATGCTTATAACTTACAAACAAATGAATTTAAAAAAAATTGTCTTACAGATTTGTTGCTTTTTGTCTAAGCTACAATTCTGTTAGAATAGATTTTTATTTTTATTATAAATTTATAAAGTTATTAGAGCCTAAAGTTACTATATAATCAAAATTTTGGCGTTTAATATATAAAAAAATTGTTTTTATAGATTTTCAACCAATCAAAATCTTGTTACACAAAAAATAGCCAATCAGATTTGAGTATAACTCTCAAAATTTGGCGCTTTTAAAAAAAATTAGATGTTTCTTGCTGTCTCGTACTGTAGAACAAATTTTATACTAAGAGAAATAAATATAATGTAGATCTGCAATAATCTGCTACTCTGAAAAAATTGAAACAATTTTGGTACTATTTGATTAGTCTTAATGAGATGGTTCAAATAGTACCAAAATTGCTAAGTTTTGATTACTGTATTATGAAATAATTGTATTTAAGGGATTTTTATAAATACTTGTATAATCTACCAACTAGTAGTCCAAACTTAATGATTTTAGTACCATTTGATTTCTCTCAATGAAACAGTTCGAATAGTATTAAAAATACTAAAATTAAATTACTAGTTAACAAGAAATTCGCAAAAAACATTTTATAGCACAGTTTTGCAAATTTGTTTTTTAAAGTTCTATGCAGAACAGTACCATGAAATGTTTTTTGTGAATATCTCTCCAACTAATAATTTAATTTTAGTATTTTTGATACTATTTGAACTATCTTATCAAGAGAAATCGAATGATACTAAAATTGTTAAATTTGGACCACTGGTTAGCGAGTTATACAGATATTTATAAAAATTATTTAAATACAATTATCTCGTAATACAGTAATTAAAACTTGGTAATTTTGGTACCATTCGAACTATTTCAATGAGACAAATTGAATGATACCAAAATTGTCAAGTTTTTATTACTAGATCATGAAATATCGTAAAATTTGTCAATTTTTTCCAGGGTAGCAGATCTTTATAGATCTACACCATATGTATTTTCCCAATGATAGTATGCACAAATTTTAATCTATATACACCAGTATTGTCAAATAACTTTTAAATAATATAAAAAATATTGTGATATTGTTATTTGTTACTTTGTTATTTAGAAGATAATAACAAATGACAAAAATAGATATTATTTTAGTTGTTTTATAATTGGTTAAATTCTAAAATACCCAAGTGTATCTAAGTTGATACAAAGTTTTACCAATTTTAGAATCCTGTGATTGGTTAAAATTTGTTATTCTTAAATAACAAAATAATAAATAGCCTATGTCATTTGTCACTAATTTGTCATTTGTCACTAAAATTTGAAATGACATTGTTATTTAACAATACTAATATATACTGTATCTATACATGTTGGCAAAACTATAAATCTTCAAAATCTCACCCAAATTCCAAATCTCAAACATAATAAAATTGTTCCAAATCCCAATTCTAAATTTCAAATCCTAATTCTAAATATAGTAAAATTTGTCCAAATCTCAATTTCAGATTTATAATCCTAAATCCCAATAGTTTTGCCAACATGTATAGCTACGCTTACTATACTGATCCAATTTATATCACTGGTTCCAAGTCATAGATAAAGTATATTAATTTGTTTGGCTGATAAAATTGATCATATGTAATGATAAAAAACTGTATTTACAATAATTAACAATCAATAGTCTTTAATGTTTAATTTGTATTGATATAGCAAGACAAACAATAAAAGACATGAGCGATAAAGATCTAGATAAATTTTTAGAAATTTATAATAGCAATAAAACTGAATCTGTAGAGTTTTATAATTGGAAAATATCAACCGGTCTCAGCTTTGAAGATATTCGAAATGAAAACCAATGTATATTTATTTATTTTAAAAAGAAAATAAAAAACAAAATTCAATTTTTCTAAAATGAGAATCTTTCGATCGAATAAATAAAGAAAGTATTTTTTATTATATATATTATTAGTATATAGTTGATAATAATACTTTCAATATTTAAAATACCCTTATTAAGATATATTAGCATATAAATTTCATAGTCTTTTTTTTTTGTATATTTGTTAGCAATTGTTATTTATTTATTTTACCAATGTGGTGATTTATATCTTCACATTTTCTCTTGTGATTAATGGCTGATATTTGTTGCTAACGTGGTAAATTATATTTTTAAGAATAACTTGATTAATTCAATATCTGTGCTGCTATTATAGATAGCCAACATAGCAAAACATATCTTCGAGACACACTTTCACTTGATTTTTTCAATATCTATAGCAGTTAACATACTTTGCTTGCAAAGTGAACTATATCTACAAGATATACTTTTACTTTATTATTCAAATTTTCAATATCTGTAGCTATTGATACCTGTGTTAGCAAAAAAGTACATCAGCTTATATTTTAAATAACCTTTTATAGATATTTTAAAATTCAGAATAAGCAAAAAAAATTTAAACCTTTTGAATTTTGCTAATATTATTACTATTATTTTTTTTTGATAGTCTAGAAATCTAAAAAAAGTAAAGAATTTATTTATAATTTATGGACAATTAATATCTGACCAATTTTTGGTCTTTAAATCACAAATTCTAAGCAAATATACAAAATTAATAGTTTCTATATCAAAAAGCTTAGAACAAAAACAAAAATATGAACAATTATCAGAAGAGTCTGCACAAGAAATTGTGTGAAAAAATTTTTTGAATTTACAAGTAAGTATTTATATTACAATTATTCTTTAAGAGTAGGGGTATGTAGATCATTTGTTATATGATTTTCATGATACAATAAGATTTATATAGAAAATAAAAATGTGCTACTAGTAAAACTTCTTACAGTTGTAATTGATTTTAGTCAAAATTT